CCCCCCAAGCCTTAGGAAGAAGCAGAAGTGAAATTCTTACCCATCTTTTTAGCTTCAGATCCCTTTTCCCTTCTCTCAGTGTGAACAGAATCTCCTCAAATGACTCATAAATCGTGGGAGAGACCACTCAAAGCGGAGATTGTCTGAGGCAGCCATTCACGGGGAAACTGACTGCAATGTGTGACAAATAAAGCAAGAAAAGCAGCTGCTGCCTTTCAGTTCTTATTCAGATGCATTTGGTGGTGTTGTTAACTGCCCTTGAGTCGATCTTGACTCATGGTCACAGCGACCCTATAGATGAGACATCTCCAAGACCCTCTGTCCTCCACTGCTCTGCATAATTCCTGTAACCCCTGAATATCCAAAGTGACCTCCTTCAAAATAGAGTCCATCCATTTGGCCTGTGATTTTCCTCTCTTCCTCCTTCCCTCCATCTTCCCCAGCATTACTGTCTTTTCCAAAGAGTTTTCTCTTCTCAAGATGTGTCCAAAGTACGACAGCCTCAGTTTGGTCATCTTGGCTTCCAGGGAGGTTTCTAGTTTGATCTGCTCTAGGACCCATTTGTTGGTCCTTTTGGCTGTCCATGGGATCCTCAGCACTCTTCTCCAGCTCCACATTCTCTCAAATGCATTGATTTTCTTCCTATCTTCTTTCTTGACTGTCCAGCTCTCATAGCCATCCATGGGAATAGGGAATATGATGGCTTGTATGATTCTGACTTTTGTTCTGAGTTGTATATCTTTTCATTTTAGCATCTTTTCTAGTTCTTTCATGGCTGTTCTTCCCATTCTTAGTCTTCTTCTTTTTTCCTGACCAGTCTCCATTTCTATCAAGGTTTGATCCCAGGGATGGGATTTGGTGTGCAGTAATTAAAATGATGCAAGGCATTTGAGAAAGGACTGACCAACCATTGTGGAACAGATTTTCAGAGCTTCGATCCAGCTGCAAAGAGCTTTCATTTAAAGTATCTCTCTCTATATATCCCATTTGATATGATGAGATCTGTTGTTGTTGTTGTTGTTGTTGTTGTGTACTTTTAAGTTGTTCCTGACTTATGGTGACCCGATGGTGAATCTATCATGGCATCTTCTTGACAAGATTTACTTTTTCCCAATGTTTTCCCCCAATTTTCCCCCAATTTCCCAATGGGCCACCAGAGTCTAAAAAACACACTGCAGAAATAACCCAGTTTGAGACCGCTTTAACTGCCCTTTCTCAATGCTAGGGAACTATGTTTCCCAAAGAATGGAGACTGACTCAAAAACAACACAAGTAGCTTGCAGTTCAAACAAAAGTTTACTAATGGCTTTAATCTATGTATACTTAGAGGCTATATCCTAATCTAGCTAGTGAATAGTTAAGAAGAAATATTTATCTCATCATCTTTCCAAAGAGAGAGGAGGAAGATGGAGGACCCAACAGTTCAAGACAAAAATTGAGTGCGATTTCCAAAAGGAGGAGTGACCTAAATCACAAGGTTAGTTTGAGAGACAGAGAGAGTGCAGAGTTTGCATGCAGGAAATCCCTATCTATCTATGGAGGGGGAAAGAGAATGCAGAAATCTTCCAACAGAAAGCACACAATAACAACAACAATATTTTGCAATGCCAGAGTTCATTTTGTTACTATTCTTGCTTCTTATGCCATATTCTCTTTGACAGAATGTCACATTTTGTTTGATTGACTCTTGACATCTCGATATTATTTTGGGAATGGATCTTAAACTTTCTCCTCTCCGTTCCCGATCCACCAGAAACCTGTTGTTTCATTTGCATTTTCACACCTACACAAAGCTTAGAAAAGTTACTTTTTGGACTATAACTCCCAGAATCACCCAGTTTAGAGGAGCTGTTGTTGTTGTTTTTAAAAAAGGTAACTTTCCCACGATCTACACTGCTATCTCTTTCCTGCTGCTGAGAGAGAGGACTAAATAACTTTTGCAACACTTTGTATACAATTACTGTCTTACTGCTTGATATGGCAATTGGATCTAAGACATAATGTGTCCGGAGGAGGAGAGATAGTATATAATTCATGTCTGAAAAGTATTAGTTAATGAATGAAATAATTGCATATCCTGCCAGACTTGTCCTGCTCCAAGCTGATATTTCCAAGCCAATTGGAATTAGGGAGGGGAAATACTCCTTTAATAAATCACTTGAATTCCCTTTACTCTGATCAATCCATTCTTTCCATATAATTGCTTTATTCTCAGTGCATTGTGATGGATTAGTCCAGGTAGGAGAAAATACACTGGGAAAATGGGTCAATGTTTAAGCTTTAAGCCATTACTCACCGGCTGTAGCTAGTAGCAAACAGAGCTTTGGGAAAGTTACTTTTTGGAACAAAACTCTCTAAATCACCGAGTCTAGGGGGATTCTGGGAATCCCAGTCACAAAGTAGCTTTTGTAGCTAATACATTTTGAGGCACCCAAGTTTCCCCACAATGTTGAGCTATTAATGCTATAATCACCAGAGAGTCCAGTAAAGAGAAGAACAAGTCTCAAAATGCTAGGAAAATGTGTATTTCATTTTCTGGGCTGCATCTACATTGCAGAATTAATGCAGTTTGACACCACTTTGACTGCCATGGCTCCATGCTATAGAATGCTGAGAGTTGTAGTTTTGTGAGACATTGAGCCTTCTCTGTTGGAGAGCTCTGGTACTGAAACAAGCTACAAGTCCCAGGTTTCCATAGCATGGAGCCACGATAGTTAAAGTGGTGTCAAACTGCATTAATTCTGCAGTGTGGCAGCAGCCTGAGACACAGAAGGGCAATGGATGGTTCCAACCTGAACTTGTAGCCAGTGAAGGAATCTAATGGAGGGAAGAAACATATGAATATTTAGGAAGATTAAAGATAATCAGAATGGTGATGTATTAATTTAAAGCCAAAGAAAAAAAAAGAACAAGAAGATAAATCCACCAGTTTTGTTTTTGCATGCAGGAATTCCCTATCTATCTAACTAGGGGGAAAGAAAAAGCAGAAATCTTCCAACAGATATAACCAAAGCCTGGGCAGCCTTGATGGTCAAGAACCTACAGATCCTTGTTGTTGTTGTTGTTGTGCCTTCGAGTCATTTCTGACTTATGGCAACCCTAAGGTGAATCTATTATGGGGTATTCTTGGAGAGACTTCATCAGAGAAGGTTTGCCATTGCCTTTGCCTGAGGCTGAGAGCATGTGACTTGCCCCAGGTCACCCAGTGGGCTTCATGGCCAAGCTGGGAATTGAACCCTGGTCTCCAGAGTCCTAGTCCAGGCTAGTGATGTTCAAAAGATGGAAATGACTTGCCTTGACTTGAAGGCATACAACAGCAGCTACCAAGATTACAATCTTGGAAGAAATGAGACCGCTAGCATAAATGTAGCTGCTAGCATAAATCCGGTGTGTCCGGGGACAAACTGAGAAAGGATATCACAACACGACACAATTATAGCTGTTCGATCCCACTTTAGCTACCAGAGCTCCAGGCAGAATCTATCCCAAATTTTTGCCTAAAGTCCAGAGGTAGTTTCCAAGGTTTTTGTTGTTGCTGTGTGCCTTCAAATCATTTCTGACTTGGGAAGTTTTTCAAGTTTTCTTGGCAAGCCTCTTAAGAGGGGTTTTGCCATAGCAGTCCTCTGAGGCTGAGAGAGTGTGACTTGCCCAAGGTCACCTAGTGAGTTTCCATAGCAGAGCTGGGATGCAAACCCTAGTCTGCAGAGTCTTAGGGGGGGTTGCAGACTGCCAGAAATAGTGCAAATTGAGTCCACTTTTAGGGTTAGGGTTAGGGAATCATGGGAACTGTACTTTATTGTGGCATCAGAGCTCTCTGACAGAGAAGGCTCAATGTCTCAGGAAAAAAAATTCCCATGATTCCCTAGCACTAACCCTAACCCTTAAAGTGGACTCAATTTGCACTATTTCTGGCAGTCTGCAACTCCCAATAGTCTTCTAACCCTTAAACCATGCTGGCTTGAACCTATTTTGGAGGTAATATCCAGCACCTTGGAGAGCTCCTTCAAAATACAGAAGGAAACCCACACTGCCATGGCAGCCTCCAGCTACCACTTCATGGCTCCATCCTAGGGGGTCCTGGGATTTGTAGTTTGGTGGTGAACTTGAAATTCTCAGCCAGATCATTCCCCCTGGACTGCAGCTGAGAAGTCCCTCACCAAGTTACCCATTCCCAGGATCCTGTAGGATTGGGCTTTAGCAATTCAACACATCACACTAACTATGCAGGGCAGTTTTGCTCTGATTTTAATGGGACTTAAACTTAGGGCCTTTGCAGACTGCTAGAAATAGTGCAAATTGAGTCCACTTTAGCTGCCCAGGCTCAGTGCTAGGGAATCATGGGAATTGTATTTTTTCTGAGACATTGAGCCTTCTCTGTCAGAGAGCTCTGGTGCCACAATAAACTACAGTTCCCATGATTCCATAGCACCGAGTCAGGGCAGTTAAAGTGGACCCAATTTGCACTATTTCTGGCAGTCTGCAAAGGCCCTTAGTTAAGAAAAGTTAAGAATCAAGTCCCTCTCCAAACCATTTATATTTTAGATAAGCAAGGTGTGGGTGTCCAGATGTTACTACATTGCAACTTTCCTCAGTCCCAGCCAGCATAAGGAAATCCATCTATTCCAGGGTAGCGCAAATGTTGCATCACAACACTACAAATCCCACCAGATGCCCTCCATGTGTTCAGTGTAGCTTACTCCCAAGTAGGCATGAATACGGGTGCATCTACATGGTAGAGATAATGCACTTTGACACCACTT